CATTCTGCCAAGTCCTCACCGTTCACTTCCTCCAAATTCGTCAAACATGCAGCGATGGGATCCTCAATCGTCAACACTTCATCATCAGACTGAACAATTACATCCACGGCATCCAGAAGAGAGCAATTTGCGAACTCACTTGGGTGCCTCATAGATTTCTGCACATTGAATATAATCTCTTCGTCATTGAGCCTCATCTTAAGCTCCCCGGTCTCACAATCAATAAGAGCTCTCCCTGTGGCCAAGAATTGTCTTCCTAAGATGATAGGAATTTCTTCATCCACTTTGCAATCCAATATCACAAAATCAGCAGGGAACACGAACTTCCCCACCTGAATAAGTACATCATCAAGGATCCCAAATGGACGCTTCACAGTCCTGTCGGCCAGCTGTAACAACATAGAGGTGGGTCTAGCTCTCCCAATGCCCAACCTCTTGTAAATGACTAGGGGCATAAGATTAATGCTGGCCCCTAAATCACAGAGTGCTTTCGCAAAAGCAAAGTTTCCAATAATACATGGAATAGTAAAACTCCCGGGATCTGAGAGCTTTTCAGCAACAGGTCTAGTTACCACTGCACTGCACGTCTGAGTAAGTGTCACCGTAGCCAAGTCTTGGAAGTCAAATTTCCGGGACATTAAGTCTTTCATCATTTTTGTGTATCCAGGCATCTCCTTTAAAGCTTCGATCAATGGAATATTTACTGGATTTGCTTGAGCATCTCAAAGAACTTTTTGTATTGCTCCTCCTTTTGGTGTTTAGCCAACCTCTGTGGAAATGGTGCAAGAGGTCTTTTCTTCCCAATCACTTGGGACTTTTCTTTCTCAGCTACTATCTCTACTACTGGCTCTTCAACTGCTTCAGCAACTTTCTCAGTATCATGCTGAGTATTCTTTTCTTACTGAGCAGGCTGGACTGTCACATCTGTCAGCCTTATGGATTCATCCAGTTCAATGGGTACCTGAATAAGTGTCTCAGCCTGTATATTGGCACGAACTTTCTCCTGCTCTTCATCGAGATCCCTGCCATTACGGAGACTTACCGCCATCAGCTGCTTCGGGCCCTGATCTTTAGGATTGATTCGGGTATCTGCAGGTAGCGTTCCTTGAGGACGATTATTCAGAGACATTAAAATTTGGCCCACCTGCACTTCAATATTTTTGATAGCTGCATCATGTGCATCTACTCTCTCATTTATCTTCGCAGTGGACCCAATAACCTGCTGCATCATTGCTTCCAGTCTAGCAAACCCATCGTCTTGTCTTCCACCATGCTGCTGCTGAGGCTGGTGGTACCCCTGCTGCTGATTGTTGTACCCTTGGGATCTAGGATACGGTGCCATGTTGTTGAGGGGTCTTATACCTCCCATGTTTCCGGCGTTATATTGTGGCGGAGGTGGTCTGTACTGTTGTTGAGTCTGCTGACCCCAGTTCGGATTTCCCTGTCTCTGACCCCCATAGTTAGCTACATAGTTCATATCTTCAGGGTGCTGATGATGATGATCAAGCTCTGTATTCCAAGGATTACCAACTGGTTGACTAATGCAAGATGTGCACAAGCCCCCATTGGTAGTGTCTACTATGTGTACCTGCTGCTTCTGTCCTGATTCCTCCACCTTTTTGGTGAGGATGCTCATTTGTGTCAGGAGGGTCGCCATATTTTCAGCCATAGTGTTTGAAGGATCAAGGGGCACTGAGTGTACCACTGGAGTGATGGGTGCATTCCTGGATGTCCATCCCGAATTCTGTGCCATTTTATCAAGTAAACTCTGACCTTCTCTCCATGTCTTGCTCAAGAATGCCCCACCAGCTGAAGCATCCACAATATTCTTCAAGCCATCCGACAGTCCCATATAAAATCGTTGTCCCAACATCTGTTCTGGAATACCATGACGTGGACACATAACCAACATTCCTTTGAACCTGCTCCATGTTTCATGCAGTGTCTCCATTGGTTTCTGCTTGAAGCTCACGATCTCATCAATTTGTTGGGCAGTTTTGTTGGGTGGATGAAACTTGTTATGAAACTGCTTGACTAACTCATCCCACGTTGCTATAGAATTTATGGGGAGTAAGTTTAGCCAAACCTGTGAAGCTCCTGTCACCGAGAATGGGAACAATAGTAACCTGATAGCCTCTGGAGTGACATTGGGCTGCCTTTGGGTCTTACAGATCGACATGAAGTTCTTCAAGTGTTGCTGAGGATCTTCAAGTTGTGTGCCAGAGAAGAGTCCCTTGTTTTGCAACAAGTGCAGCATATTATTTGTGATCTGGAACGACTCAGCTTGTATTGCAGGCAAAACTATGGCAGTAGCTAAATTGTCAGTTGTGGGTTGTGCCCAGTCATACAGTGCACCCTCGGGCACCAGAGGTGCCACGTCTCTGACATTCAAGTTGACTTGCTCATGCCTGCCGTTTCCGTTAGGGTCGATTGCGTCTCCCATGTCAGTTTCGAATTTGTCTATTTGTTGAGGTGGTTGAAGTCTTCTGTTGGCACGGTTAAATGCCCTGAATATTTTCTTAGGGTCTGCGAGTCCTTCAAGTAGTTCTCCGGTCCTTGTAGAGTTTCTAGGCATACACCTGTGCAACCAAGTCAACAACTGTCAAAAATTTCAATCAAAAATTGGGTGTAGAGGAACTGCCTACGCGAAGAATTTTTTTGTATTTCTAGCAATGGTAATTGATAATTCCGTTAACTCCCCGGCAACGGCACCAAAATTTGATCACGCCCAACTATGCCTTATACAAAAGACAATGCGGTCGTTGCAAATATAATCCGGTTTACAAGTCCGGAGTCGAATTTCACAGAGAGTTAACCTATCAATCACAATCTTTAGACTCACTAAACTCTTCAGAACCAGCTTCCCAAATGTTTGAATCACAAGTTGATGATTTCTTTAGTAACTAAGATTGCAAGTAAATTAAACAGGCTGTAAACTAAAACGCTAAGGTTGTAAACAATGAAGAGATAAATCTAAGGTAAAGATTTCCCCTATTGATGGAATCCCTTCTGTTTATGCTTCATACAAATCTCCCAACACACCTGTATCAATCATGAACACTTTTCTTACCGTAAATCTCTCCTGAGTAATCACAGTAATATACTATTGCACTCTCCCGAGATACACTAGCTAGCTTTAATTAACACAGTTCACTTAAGATTGCACCCAAGGATTCGTTATCCCTAATCTCGCCTTTAAACCCGCAGTTATAGATCCCTCTTATACGTTGGGAGTGGTGTTGTTCAACAATAACCTAAATATGCACTCTCTTCCGAGTTATGCACACTAAATAGACACAGCTAATTGAGGATCCTGTCAATTAACTACAACATACACAAAGTTGAACAAATAAAGATTGAAACTAGCAATTTGTATTCACATAAACAAGAAGTTCATCCCCCAATAGGTTCCATCAAAACCTTAGACAAAAGATTTAGCTACTCATAACTATGGGTAAACAAACTAAGATAAGATTCATCATAAACTAGCAATAGAAATCAAAGAAAAGAAGAAAGATGTTTTGGGTGATCTCTCACAATTGTTTTCTTGCCAAGATACTCTCAAAATCAATACATGCCTCTCTTGGGCGAAGTCTAGTGTTTAAAATAGGGTTTTGGGCTAAAAATTCCGTATTTGCACTTTAGTCCCTGAAATTCCCGCCTCCTGCCGCGGTTCTGTCGCGGTCGCGGTAGAACCGCGGCCAAACATGGCCTCTGATCTTCCTTCTATCCGCGAACATCCTTCACCACGGTTCCACCGCGGTCGCGGTGGAACCGCGGTAGACTCAGTTTTCTGATTCTTCAGCCTGTTTTGCGTGGTTCACTTGGGATATTTCATGGTTGGCCTCTATTTCTTCATTTTTTTCACTCCAAACGTGATCCCTAGCCTTCCTTAGTCATATATAACCTGCAAATCATGAAAAGCACTAATAAGAGCATTTTGTTATCACTTTTATTATCAAAACTATGCAAGAAGGCGATTAATTAGGGTCTGAATAAAGTTAAATTCACCTATTATCACTGAACCCTGGAGTAACCCCATCATGACAGAAAAGTGTCCCGAGTCACCTCTTACTATCCTAACTCGAGTTTTGGTTCCATCAGACGTATCCTTAATCGCCCTAATGTAAGCTATAGATACACCTTTTGCCTCCAAATATTTCCATAAAACCTCTCAAGGGACTTTGTTGTTTGCTTTCTCTAGGTCAATAAACACCATACAAATTCTTCTTCCTCTCCCTATACTGCTCCACCAATCTCCTTACAAGATGAATGGTTTCTGTCGTTGATCCCCGTGGCATGAATCCGAATTGGTTCTCGAAAATGGGCACAATCCTCCTTATCCGGGCCTCCACCATCCTCTCCCAAACCTTCATAATATGGTTTAGCAACTTGATGCCCCTATAGTTGTTAAAATTTTGAATATCACCCTTGTTCTTGTATAATGAGACCATTGTACTCCACCTCCATTATTCGGGTATCATCACCGTGCTAAAAATAACATCAAACAACCTGGTCAACCACTCCAAACATGTCCTACCTGCGCTTTTTTTAAATTCCACCGGAATCTCGCCTGGCCTGGTTGCTTTTCCCTTGCCCATTTTATGCATAGCCTCCTCCACCTCCTTGACCTTAATAAGACTACAATACCCAAAGTCATGTCGACTCTCGGAGTGCTCCAAATCACGTAGCACAATAGTCCTATCTCCCTCTCTTCATTCAAGAGTTTATGGAAGTATGCCTGCCATCTTCTTCTAATATGTGCCTCCTCCAATAACATTTTACCTTCTCCGTCTTTGATGCACTTCACTTGGTCCAAGCCACGAGCCTTCCTCTCTCTCGCCCTAGCTAGTCTATTGTACAACTTCTTATCCCTGTCTTTGTCCTGGGGTTCTTTATACAAGCATTCGAACGTTGTTGTCTTAGCCGCTGTAACCGCTAACTTTGCCTCCTTCTTCGCGGTCTTGTACCTCTCCTGATTCGCGCTCCTCTTTTACTCATCTTTATTCTCTCTTACCTTCAAATATGTTGCTTTCTTCGCCTCCACTTTCCTCTGCACCTCCTTATTCCACCACTAGTCCTCTTTATACCCGTCACACTAATCCTTCGAGACCTCTAACAACTCTTTAGCTACTTCCCTAATGCAGTTCGCGGTCCTAGCCCATATACTACTCGTAGTTCGATGATTTAAAACATAATACTTATTAAAATTTTAGCAATTTTACAAACATATCAAAGTATCGTAAAAATTATTAGATTCAATTAGACCCGTAGCTTGGTAGCTGTATTTGCCCATGCGCGCTTAGCCAACGAAGGAATGTATGAAGCTGATAAAGGCTAAATAAAGACTCCATAGACATGTATAGCAAAAATAGAAAGAATTTTAGCCTATAAAATTCTAGACTACAATCAAGTCTCTTCTATTTTGAATCTCACTTTCCTTGTTGATTGACAAATTGCGAAAAATCATCTATTCCAGTAGCCATTGCATTTGCAGTGCCACTGTTCCTTATCGCAAATTCACCTTTTTTTTGTTTTTGATTCCACACGAGTCGCATTATCCTTTCAATTCTTGTTTATAAAATTCTATCGGATTAGTATGACTTTGTGCTAGACTTATTTTACTTATATTGTTTAATTATTTATAAATTTTATAGGATTGCCATGACTTTGTGCTAGACTCATTTTGCCTATATTATTAAATTGTTCATAAATTCTACCGAATTTGCATGACTTTGTGCTTGTTAAATTATTCACAAAATCCTTATGAATTGATATGAATTTTGTGCTATATCCATTCTATATATATAGTTTAATTGTTTGTAAATTTTATCAGATTAGTATGGCTTTGTGCTTGTTCAATCATTTACAAAATTTACCAGATTACCATAATATTGTGTTATATTCATTCTACCTATATTATTCAATTGTTCACAAATCTTAGCGGATTAGTTTGACTTTGTACTTATTAATTGTTCACACCAGATTGGCATAATTTGTGCTATATTTATTCTGTTTATCTTGTTAAATTGATCACAAATCCTATCGGATTGGAAAAACTTTGTGTTTGTTCAATTGTTATTAATATACTGTCGGATTGACATAATTTTGTGCTTTATTCATTCTACCAACAGAGAAGGATCATAACTACCCCTTTATTATCTAAAATAAGATATATTTACCCTCCGTTTTGTTTTTTTTATTAAAAGTACTCCGACCCTTGTATTTCTGTCACGACCCAATTTTCCCCTTCGTGAACTGTCGTGACGACACCTAGTTTCTATGACTAGGTAAGCCTAATATTGCAAAAATAAAATAAAAACACAAAGATAACAGCTAACATATGTAATTAATTAAGCATAAACGGTGCCACTCGGCATATACAATAAACATCTTTTCCAAAACCCGGAATGTCGCAATGTCACAAGCTTCTAAGATAGTCTTAATTGTTCTATACATCATTCTACGGAAAGGAAGAAAAATGAACATATGGGATAGAAAGGGATTCTGAAGTCTACGGACGTGGGCAGATGTACCTTTAAGTCTCCTGAAGCAGTAACCACATAGCTAGACTCGAAGCTTATAGTTAGTACCTAGATCTGCACACGGAAAAACATGTGCAGGAAAGGACATGAGTACACCACAACGGTACCCACTAAGTTCCAAGCCTAACCTCGATCGAGTAGTGACGAGATCAAGTCAGGGCCCTAATGGTATAAATATAATAAAATAACAAAGAAAGAAATATTACAGTAAAGTAAATGCAGAAATCTAATAGGAATAGAATTCGATGAAAGCCAACAGCTCAGAACATAGTAATAGCGACAGGGGATCTCCCGAGATAGCATCCCATAGTCCCAAAGGTAAATGTGTAGGGGGATCTCCCGGAAAACTGTTCCGTAGTCCTAAAGTAAAATATGCAGTGCTGGGAGATCTCCCGGAATAATGTTCCATAGTCCCAAAGTAAATATGCAGTACAAGGGGAGATCTCCGGAATACCATTCCGTAGTCCCAAAGTAAATATGCAGTACAGGGGGATCTCCTGGAATACCGTTCCGTAGTACCAAAGTAAATATGCAACTCAACCAATATAAATAACAGTCACAACAAGAAAATCTACCGTTAGAATGAGTTCAAATCAAGAAAAAACAGGTAATTTCATTAAACATGCTGCACAGAGTTCAAATAGGCAGTTAAAACACGTAGGCATGTTTTCTAATCTAAACAAGATAGAACATATGCTAGTGTAATTCAAACAAGGAGAAAACATGTTATGACTTAGTGAAAAATGGAGTTTTACAACAAATAGCTCATGTACGTACTCGTCACCTCACGTACACGGTGCTTATATATCAAACAGTACCAAATCCTAAGGAGATTTCCCCCACACAAGGTTAGGCAAGCCACTTACCTCGAACCAAGCTCAAATCAATCCGAAACAATGCTCTTTCCACGAATATCCGGTTCCGGATGGCCTAAATCTAGCCAACTCGATTATATAACGTAAATATAGCTACAAACAACTAATCTAGTTAATGAAATCAAAGCTAAGGCAAGAAAGTAGAAAAACGCCCAAAAAACATCCCCAGGCCCACGTCTCCAAATCAGGTAAAAGTCACAAATTATAAATACTCATTCACTCACGAGACTCGTACAAAATTATCCAAATTAGATGTCAAAATCCCACTGAAAACTCAGAAATTCGATTGGGGAATTTTTCTCCCATTTTCCCAATTTTCTCACTCAAATTCCTTGATTAAATGAAGAAAACAACAATAGATTAATGAAATGCAATCAAAGTTGAGTAAGAAATCGTTACCCACAAGCTTCCTCTGAAAATCCCTCGAAATTTCGGCTCAATCCGAGCTCTCTAGGTCCAAAAATGGAGAATGAAATCAAACATTCGATTTTGCCCTTTTCTGCCAGTCAAACCACACATGCGGACCCTTCTTTGCACCTGCGGTGGCGCACTTGCGGAAATTTCATTGCAGGTGCGGAATATCACTTAAGTGGGATGAGACCGCATCTGCGAGCATTGGGCCGCACCTGCGAGCCCGCTCCTGCGGTCCCCAACCACTTATGTGCCTCCGCTTCTGCGGACTTCTCACCGCGTCTGTGGACCCAGCTGAACTAGGCCCATATCCGCTTTGGCGGTTTCTTAACCGTTTTTGCGGCTCCGCACCTACGACCGAAAGTTTGCAGGTGCGGTTACACCAGATACAACAGCTTCAGCCTTTTTCCTAAATCTCAAACCAATCCGTTAAGCACCCGAAACTCAGCCGAGCCCTCGGGACCTTAACCAAATATACAAACCAATCCTAAAACATCATACAAACTTAGTCAAGCCCTCAAATCACATCAAACAATGCTAAAAGCACAAATCACCCTCCAATCCAAACTTAATGAACTTGAAACTTCCAAATTCGACTATCGATGCCGAAATCAACCAAACCACGTTCGATTGACCCCAAATTTTGCACACAAGTCATATTCAACACTACAGACCTACTCCAACTTTCGAAATCATATTCCGACCCCGATATAAAATATTCCACTACCGACCCAATATCCTTTGTGTGAAAGTTTGAAGGAAATTGTATGCCTTCTTTGAATATAGAAGAACAAAATATAAACTTTTCTTCTATTTATACTAAAGTTCATACAAGGTATGATATCATGGATGACATTATGTGGGTCATTTCTTGTTATAAATAGCAAGGTTTTATTTTATTTGAGAACACACCAAACATATATAGTAAGAGAGAGTTCACAGATTAAGAAGAAAAATACTCTGTAAGAAAAAAAATATAGAGAGTTGAGCGGTATTGTTGTGAGGTGGAAAAATCAAAAGAAAGTTATTTCTTTTGAGTGTGTAGTGATCGTAAAGTATTTTATTCGGTACCACAAATTATAAAATCCTTGCTATAGTAAAATTTATTACTCCTCTTGGGCCATGATTTTTTCCTTATTCAGAAGGGTTTTCCACGTAATAAAGTTGGTGTCCTTATTTCTCTTATTATTATCGTTGGTTACGGTATTTTAGTAATCCACATTTATTATAATTGTATAACATGAATATTATTTCTGTGAGGATTATTTTTCCAACAATTGGTATCAGAACATAGGTTCTGCTCGTACACAGAAATACTTTTCACGGTCGGTAGTACTATACGAGGTGGAAAAATAAAATGTCCAAGTAAAGTATGAAGTAGTAAAATTTAATGGAGATAGCGGTTGCTCAATATGGTAAAGAAGGATGAGGGATATGCTCATCCAACAAGAATTACACAAGGTATTAAATAGTGATACTAAGAAGCTTGATACCATGAAAGTTGAGGATTTGACTGACTTGGATGAAAAGGCTGCTAGTGCAATCAGGTTGCACTTATTAGATGATGTGGTAAATAACATAATTGATGAAGATACTTCATGTAGCATTTCAACAATGTTAGAAAGCATATACATATCCAAAACACTGAAAAATAAATTGTACCTGAAGAAGCAATTATATGCCCTGCATATGGGTAAAGGAACAAATTTTTGTCACATTTAAATTTGTTTAATGGACTAATCACGCAGCTTGCCAAACTCAAAGTAAAGATTGAGGAAGCAGATAAAACCATCTTGTTGAACTCATTTCCATCTTCATACTATAATTTGTCAACAACCATCATGTACAGTAAAATCACTATTGAGTTGAAGGTAGAGGTAGAAGTTACCAAAGGAGTTCGAGCAACTATTGTAAATTTGAAGGTCGTAGGAAGTCCAAGAACTGATTCAAATCAAAAGCTAAAAATTGCTACAAGTGTGATCAACCGGGTCACTTCAAAAGAGATTGTCCAAATCTAAGAAAGGGCAAAGGTGAAAGCAGTGGCCAGAAGAATGACGACTACACAACTGCCATGGTGAAAGAAAATGATAATGTTATAATCTCTTTATAAATGAGGAAAAGAAATGCATGCACTTGACATGCCCAGAGTCGAAATGGTGGTTGACACAAAGACATCTTACTATGCCATACCAGTAAGAGAATTTTTTTTTATAGATATGTAGCAGGTAATTTCAACACTATGAAAATAGGTAACATGAGTTACTCAAAGATTATGGGGATTAGTAAAATTTGTATTAAGACAAATATCGGGTGCACATTGGTTCTAAAATATGTGCGGTATGTACCTGATTTGTGAATAAACTTAATCTCGAAAATAACTTTAGACCGAGATGGATACGGAAACTATTTTTCAAATCAAAAGTGAAGACTCACCAAGGGATCTTTGGTGATTACAAAGGGAATTGCTCGTGACACTTTGTACAGGACAAATGCAGAAATATGCCGAGGTGAATTGAACGTGGCACAATATAAGATTTCTGCAGATTTGTGGCACAAAATAGTGGGTCATATGAGCGAAAAGGAATTGCAGATTCTTTCTAGGAAATCACTGATCTTTTTTGCCAAAGGTACAAAGATAAACCTTGTGACTATTGTTTATTTGGTAAGCAACATAGAATCTCATTTCAGACATCGTCTAAAAGAAAATTAAATATACTTGATTTGGTA